CTAAAATGAAGCCAATTTCCGTCCCTGTTGAATTGAGAATCTGTCACTGGAAAATTTCTGTAAATTCCAGCACCTTGAGCTAGCATTTGACCCTGAAAACCAAGTTTCAAGCTCCAAAGTGCAATATTTAAGGCAGGTGAGTCTTAATGAATGGAAACAAGTTAGGATTCCTTCCACACTTGTCAAAATGTCACAATTTTGGTTTCTCTACAATCCAACGAAATAGAGGAAGAAAGCTAGAGAAGCTCCAACTACCTCAGTCACGAACGTAGTCGAGGGAGAGACTAACCCAGCTTGTCTGGTGTTCTAGAATCAAGGCCAAGCATTGGAGGACAGTAAGGGTTCCAGGCACGGCTCAGAACTCCAATTTTGGTCATTCAAGTCTTTTGCTCTGTTGTCTGCTGGAGCAGGGGAGGAAACAAGAAGAAGTTCCAGCCACTCTAGCAGTAGCTCAGCCAGAAAACAAAGTTAACCAGGTTTGTTGGAGACTCTAGTGTACGGTTTGACCATTGGACTGCCGAGAATAAGTAGGTAAGGCTCTGAATTTTAGCGGGATGCTGTTCGGGGCTGGTAACAGGGGAGTCGAGTAGAAGAGACAAGGCTCGACAGGAATCAGGTCTGACCAGTTCGCTTGAGCTAGGCTTATCCAAATTACACCTTGAATGGCCAGTTTAGGCCGATCTAAAGAATTTCTAAGCCGGTTCATCTCGGTTCCAGAAAGGACAAGTTAGGACACATTTGAATTAGTCATTTTCCTAAACCAATCCTGCCTAATTTCTACTGGTTCAACATAAATTAGGTTGGTTTAAGGCTAATTCAAATAAAACAGCTCGGTTAGGGATAAATCAGGCTGGTTCACTGTTAAATCAGACTAAGTTAGGCCAGTTCAAGGAAATTAGGGTCGGTTTATTCCAGTTCTAAGAACATAAAACTATTCTAAGAACATAAAACTAAGATACACTTAATCTAGTCAAGTTCTCAATCCGTTTTAACCTAGTTTGACCAGTTCAACATAGGATAGTTTGGTTTAAAGCTAATTAAGATAAACCTGCTTGGTTCAAGGATAAACCGGGCCAGTTCGAAGATAACCAAGGTAAATTAAGTTAATTTAAGGATGTTAGAGTCGGGTTAGAGACTAATTAATTAAAGGGATTATATATATAAATAAATTATTGGTTCTCTAAAGACAAATAAATCTTTAATTTTATACATTTTCAGGTATCACTTAAGCCTAGACATATACATTTTATGAATCTTTAGGTTGGAAAAGTACGAGTATCCAGAATATCATCGAGGCTAAAATCAAGGAATTCAATGGACTACAGGTGAGTGGCATCTTCCTAATCTTTGTTACTTTTTGAAATATGTTTTCTTTTATTAAATAAAAATAAAAATCAATAATGATTGTGTCTGACGAACCATTTGTATGTTGATATTCAAAAAGGAAACAATTAGCTATTTTCTGGTTTTTATTATATGCTCGATTTAATATTTTCGTAAAAATGAAAATCTATTTTCCAGAAATATTCTATGTTGATATATAAAACTGGAAACACGTCAGTTATGTTCTAATTTCAGCTATGTGATGAATTTGATGATATTTATGATTTTCTGATATTTGTGCTTCGGCACCAAAGTTGAATGTCGGGTAACCACTTGGGGCAGGTGGTAGTTCTACATGCATCATAGTTTATGACATAGTATATGACAGAGCATAGTATTTCAATCCCACAGAGGATTCCAGAGTATTACAGAGCTCACAGACTGTGTCAATCTAGCTGAGGGAATCGCAACAGCTCTCAGTATAGGTTACACAGTGTAGTAATGCCCGACATGTTTTATTGACTTTTCTAGTTTTTATGATTTTACTGCCCCCACAGATACACTATTATCAGTTGTGCACACCAATCAGAGAGACACACATGATATATGTACCATAAGTCTTATGATTTCAAATTTCCTATGTTTTTCCGATCTCTTTAGATATATAGACTGGTATTCTGATCGACAATCACTATGTAAACATGATTTCCTCGTACAAATGTGATTTTCTTGACTTGAATTAATTGCTATGATATGCTTATGGAATTTCACAAAAAAGCATGTTTTTCCTGATTTCTTAAAGATACATAGACTGATATCTTGTTTTGATGATTTTTATACAAAACAATTTATTTTTAACACATATGTGATTTTCCTGATCTGAGTTTTCTTATGGATTTTCAGAGTTTCTAAAATTTTTAACTTCATTGGTTTACATCATGATCAATGTCACTATATAGACTTAATTTATTTAGCAAAAATTCATGTGTTATGTTTATTATGTGGAAATCTTTATAGAAAGGTACGTTTAACTATTTTAGTATAAAATCTTGACTATTTCCACTAAGATTAGGCAGTGTGCCATTCACTGGGACACACGTCTCATTTCCCCCCTTTTCCTATGCAGGAATTAGCCGGATAGTAGTATTGCATCACATGCAGTGGAGGTTGGGCTAGCAGAGCTAAATCAGTTTAAGGTGGGCACGTAGATTATTTCGGACAGCTAGAAACATATGCTAGTTAGATTAGTAAGTTAACTTAATAGAAAAGGAGTAGAGTAGGGTTATAACAGCCACGTGCTACTGTGTCCGAGATACAGTAGTACATCAGTTGCTACCCAACCGTCATGTCTCACCGAGTTAGTGGAGGTAGGGCGAGACAGTTATTGTTAAAAATTATAATATTATTTAAATAAAATAATTTACAGATGATTATTAATTATAATTTGGTGAAAATATGAAAGTAATTTTACAATTAGCTATAATCTATCAATATCAATACTTTTAAATTAGTATTTAATTATAATATTATTTTAAAGAAAATAATTTTTAGAGAATATGGTGAGTAATTTGGTAAAAATGGGAAAATAATTTTACAATTAGCTATAATGTACCAATATTTATATTTTTATTGTATGTTAATTTAAAGAGAATGAAATTATGTTTAACAAAAGAATTTTAAATATATGAATTTTTAATTTGTAACAATTAATTTTAAAAAATTTGAGTATGTACATGTGTATATATAACCTTGTCCCAACCCGTATTTGTGCTTCCAAGCTAGAGCAATCCTGAAACTTTTCCATGTCAAGTGCCTCGAAAGTCATTGGAATGACACCCAAAACCAAGTGGACCTAGATTGCCTTTTGCTAACTCGTGGGTTTAAGTTACCTAAAATGGAAGGGATTGGTATAAATTATTCATGATGTAATTTCACAATTAGTTATAATCTATCAAAATTTATAATTTTAAATTAGTGTTCAATTGCAATGTTATTTTAAATAGAATAAAATTAATAATTAATTTTAATTATATGATTTTTTAATTTGTCTTGATTCAACTTTACAGAAATTGAGTTTGTATATATGTAGATATAACTTAAAACCTTTTTGACCTTTGAGCCTTGTATGACTATTTACATCAGCTTGCTAATATCTTTGCCCAATCATAAACCCAAATATAATCAAATCATAATTGAATCATGAGCAGTTTATTGATCCAGATGGTTAAATCATGATTGTTTAAATTCACTAGTTTTTGGTACAAGCCTAACTCACACTACAAGAAAAGGCACATATGCTAACAAAAACTTTTGTAACAAATTGAAATTTGCCACAATACGATGGGTTATTGTAAAGAAATTGTAGATTTTGATACCAAAGGTCCATCTTTGGTCACAAAGAAATAATTTTGTTACTTTAAATAAAATATCATTATAATAGACAAGTTTTTATGTTACAAAGTAGAAAAATGGTTACATAAGTTAAAATCTCGTTACACTTAATATGGTGACATTTGGAAAAATATTTCTCTGTAACAAATTTTTGTTCTTTTTTCTAACATGGACATTTTTTGTTCAAAAAGGTTTCTTATTGTAACGTAAAACTCATTACCTTAAGTTAATTGATTTTTCTTCTAATCTAATTAATATGGTTCATTTAATTAATTATTAAGGCTTGATTATTATTGTTCATTTAATTAGTTAATGAGACCTAACTAACTTTTAGATCCTAAGTTTTTAACCTTTTTAAAACTCTTAACTCAAAGTAATTATCTAACCTACAAATAAATGAAAAATTTAAAAAAGGATAAAAAGGGTTCAAATTTTCTTTTTTATGGTTTTTAAATAAGAAAGTACAAAGTAAATAAATAAAAGAAAAATGAACGAGCAGAATTTTGAATAATAACATAATAGAATGAACAAGTAAAATTTTAAATAATAAAATGATGAAACGTAAAAGTAAAAATAAAAATGATAAAGTATTTGAATGAATGAATTAAATGGATGAATGAACTGGATAACTGGACTTTCAATAAGATTTTTGTAAAATAAGCAAAATTATAATTTTCCCCTTCAATAAATTTCTTCAAAAATAATAACTAAGTTCAGTTCCTAAAAAATTAACTAAACAAAGGTTTAACCAACCCGCAGCCCAATATTAATTTGATTTCTCAATTTAGTTTGATAATTATGAAAATGAAAGAATTAAATGGATAACTAGGATTTATCAATTTGGTTTAATAGTAATCTAAACTTGGCCTTGTATAATTATTATCAAAAATTAAATATATTTATTAAATTCTATCTAAGCTTTGCTTTTAGAGGATCTAAATGTAACAGACTTGCATAAATTCTAAATTTCAAAACCAATGATTTACATGAATTGCAAATTTCAAAACCAATTAATCAAGATTTGATGGCTAGGATTCATTAATGGAAAATTTTCAATCATAATAAAAAAGTTTAAAACCATGATAAACACACTCCAACTTCATCAAAATTTCATTTGAAATCCCGTTAAATTGTTGAAGGGGTGTTTGAACACTCCACATGCTCTTGTTAACCATTTTGCGGGTTGTTTGAACACACCACATCCTCTTGCTATGCATTTTGCATAGATTCAAAGCTTTCTCAGCTAATTGTGTCCATCCTCTTGTCAAGACAATCTCAAAAAGTACTCACATATGCTGTCCAATACTCTGTTAAAGCAAAAGAAAACAACAAAATGAGTAGAGTACACCAAAAGCAATAAAAGAAGCCTATGTCCAAATACCATACCTATAGAGTGACAATAGAAGGACTTCAATGGGTGAGCTTATGTCCAAATACCAGATTGGATCTCCTAGATTAACTCTAGTCTAATAGCCACCTCCAAGTCTACCAATCAAATAACCATCATTGTTTGTTGTTGGTTTTGCACAGCTTTAGCTATCAGCCCTATAAATCCATTTTTTTGATGCCTTACACTTGGCCACTACATGGATCCCATCACTGGTACACGGGAAAGAAGCAGAAAAGGCAAGTAGTTATTAGCCATTGTGTTGAAAACAATAAGGGAGCCAAACAAAATATGTGCAAATTAGTTTTTCTTGGCATTTTATTAGCCATCAATGTGTGTGATGGAATATTACACGGTTAAAAAAAAGAACTAATAGCTGGAAAACCAAAACTGCTTTTAGTCTTCAACAGTAACTAGATATTGAACTCACCTGCAAGCCACAAGCAACTATCTGATCTCCTTCATGAAGCACACCATTGACTAACACAATGTCAATTGTTGTCCCATGGCCTTCAACAACCTGAACCTCCAAAACTGTGCACTACAAAGAAGATACAAAACAATGTTAGCCCATATTCCAAACATCCTAGTAGTCAACAGATCATGATATATTGCAAAATGAGGCAAAAGAAGGCAATAGGGTGGTTATACCTGTACTTCATTACTACAAGTAAGTCTTTCAACCATAGTCTTCTGAGTCCATTGAACTAACCATAGCAACAAATCAGGAATGCCTTCATCACTGTTCCATCCACAAATGCAATATATTAGAATAGTGGAGAAGAAATATCTAATTTTGTTGGCTATGCAGCAGAAAAAACAATAGACCTAACCAGCATGACATATCAAAAGTCAATGATATTTACCTGATTGCACTTGTAGGCATAATGTTGTAAGTTTCACCAACTTCTTTGCCTTTATAGTATAGTCCAACATTTAATCATTGTTTCTTGAACTATTTCATATCCTGAAAAATCAACATAACAAATTATAATGAATCCTTCAAAATCCAAAATAATTACAACATCCTAATAGAGGCTGGAAAATAGATGACCTAAGCAAGCCTCACGAAGAATTCAAGTCAAAAATCTTTAGATTGTTGCTTCAAAGCATTGACAATTGGTGCATTTCGGCAAGTTTTCCACCCATAAAGTCTGTCCACCTGCAAGCATGGAATGAAGGAACAAAATAAACATGACAACATTAAAATCAAAGCAATATATGTATTCTAAGGATAATAATGAAAGAGGAATGTACACCTTATTCAATGCGACAATAAATTCAGTATCCCTCATTTTCAGAAGATTGATTGATTCAATGGTGTGTGGTTCTAAACCCCGCATTCAAAGACCAAAATTGCAATGTCACACAGACCTAAGCCCTGAGACCTTAAGTTGGTGAATGACTGATGTCCAGGCATATCAATAACTAATAGACTTGGGACCTTCAAATTTACATCAGCTTTAAGTTCTCTTGTTCTGTCTCTTATATTCTATGCAGGAATATGTGTGGCACCAATTTGCTGGGTAATCCCTCTTGCTTCACCTTCCCGAACATTTATGCCTCAAATACAATCAAGTGTCTTGGTTTGACCGGTATCAACATGACCCATAATATAGCAAACTGGGACTGGAGATTACTTTCTCCCTCAATTGGCTTAGCATCATAACGTAGTTGTCCCTTCTTAATAGTAGGTTCTTTATGCTTGTTTTTGTCCATGACCTCAATCTCAATTCAACTTTTTTCTTGAGATTTACCTAGTAAAGTAACAGCAACTTTCTAGCAGCAACAACAGGATGGCCTATATCACAATTAATAGGTTGGGAACTTCTCATCTCCTTTTCAACAACAGGAAGGCCTATATCACAAAGGCTTGTAGAATGAGTAGACCTAGGCCCTGAATTGCTGATCTAGGGTAATAATACATATGATAATTTCATGAAGCCTTTACCCCATATGTATTTATTTTTCAGGAAGAGGACAAAATGCTAAGGCAAAGGTGACTAGAAAGGAGATGAAAAGAAGGGTAATGGTAGAAGCTTGTGTTGAAATGACCAGACAAGTACAAAAGAAAGCACGTATGAATACCAAGAAAACTAGCACCACAAAATCAGTTAATAAAGGATTAGAAAGGCATGACGATAAGAAATAGTGGTGGTTTGGCTTCATTTTTTTAATTAATCCATTTCCAAACTTGGGGTGTTTTGTTTGCTTTTTTTAGATACTATTCCTGAGGTTACGAAGCACAAAGCAAAGGACATCCAAAGAAAGCTCTAGCTGAAAATGTATGTACCCCCATAAATTATATGATAGTAATATCACAAGTTTCAATTGGGGTTATTTAACCTTTTAGCAAGATAATCCATCCTTAATTTCTATACAAGATGATGATGATGATGATGTTGAAGTACTTGAGCTAAAGGACTAACTAGCTGCCTACAATCTTGAATCTTCTCTTAATTGCTCTGAAGTTAAATTCTTATTCCTTCTATGCAAACCATGATCAATGTCTTCTTTTAGTTGGAAAGGAAATATAAGAATTATGCTTAATGCTTCTAATGGAATAGATAATAATTTTATAGATGACTTTGGAAACTTTACATATAATTAGGCAATTTCGCTAAATCAGAAAAACATTGGACTTATTCATGTTGAACACTTTTTCTTTTTTATTGTAATGTTTCTACAGCCATGGATACCAAGGTGGCTAAAGTACCAGCTCGGAGGAAGAAAGAACCTAGAAGGACTACCACTAGACAGAAGCCTTAAGCAACCGTGACAAAGATTTCAAATAAGGAAGATGAGGAGGACTTGAGTGATGATGATTTTGCGCTAGAAGTTGTGGAAGCATCGAAAGTGGGGAAGGAAAAGGGAGGAAGAAATCCAGTAGCAACAACAGCCAATGTAGCTAAACCAGCAGCACCACCAAAAAGAAAAAAATTGGCTTGCTAGCAAGCAGAAGCAAACATTAGGCCAAAGATTGATAATTGATGTTCTAAAGCCCATAGAAAAATCAGGGATTCCAGCCGAGAAGAAAGTGAGAAAGATGAGGGCTTCCCCATTTAACATGAAAAGTGGCTCTGTCCTAGGGAGGACTGAAAAGGAGCATGAAGATGAGAAGTATACCTCAATGGGTTTTGGTTTAAGGAAGGGAGTGAGGTGGTGATGATGGCTCCCAGGGCTAGATCATAGAGAGGGAATCTTGTGAAAGCGAGGTATATTTTGAGTGATTCTACGAGTGAAAATAATAAAGTCAGTGCTGATTCTGACTTTGACAAAAGCGAAGACGAAGAATGGTGTTTCTTGCTTGTGAACCCTAGTTGTAGTAGGAAATTGAGACTCATTTCCTTGTAGTTTTCTTCCAAGATTAGTAAATTGTATTTGCTATCAAAATTTATTGAAAGCAAAGATGAAAATTTGAGTTCAAAGTAGCAACTTTTATGTTAAATTGCATTACTCATTAAGCAAGGTTGTAATTGGAAATTATAGTAGCCTACTGAGATGGGTTAATAGTGCCCCTCCTATTGAGAAATCGATCATTTAATCCAACAATTAAACTATAAATTTGCTCCAGCCAGGTCTATGCTATGGGAACCTAACAAAGTCCTCATTAGTTCCTATATATGTATGTATACTAGTTTGTGCAATCACCTACCAAACCCATGTTGCAAAATAGAGAATTTCACTAGGCTGTGGTTCGGCCTATTGTTTTACAATCCATGCTATAAATACTCACAAACTACTTCTCACAAGGAAGGAACCCAGATAAAAGAAGGAAAAGAAGTTTACTGCTTCTCTAACTAGAAACTTGGAGAAACCTAGGTCCGACATGAGCGTAATAGGTGCTATGATTCAACGCTATCCAACCATGAGAATGATAGAGGACAAGCTTGAATGCCTTCTAATAGTAGGAGAGAGAGAGAGAGAGAGAGAGAGAGAGAGAGAGGGGAGATGATGCTAACATGAAGTATGAGGAAGGAGTTCTCCTTCACAAGTTGTTGATACTGTGCTATTATAGCTTTAATTTGTTATTTGTTTTGAAATTATTACACTTTAGCTACACAAGTTGTGAAAGCAACAAGAAATGTATAATAGATAAGAACAAAATTTTCATATCAATTCTATGTATAAGATGAATTTTATGTAATGACTGATGAGCAAGCCAATATGTGACACGAGTCAATGGTAATGTGGTGTAAAACCACAGCAGAGAGCAGAAAAGAAATAACAGATAATACATAAAAGAATAGAGGAAAGACAAGGGAAAGGGAAAAAGCAAATGTGGAGCAGCTAAGCTTGGCATGGATCATGAATAGGAAGTTCATGTTTCAATGTGACAGTCACACAATAAGTGGAGTCCATAGAAGAACTTCAACTCAAGCAATACATTAAGTACATTAGTTGAATTGTAATACTCAAGCAATAAATGAAGTCCATTTTGAATTGTAAATCACCAACCACCTCTCACTTAATACATTAACAATGGTGTTCTACATACTTAAACCCCTTGATTTTTCAGGAGATAACAACTAAAACATCAAGGCATATAATAGAATTTTACTTATCTCTATTTCCTTCAATGGTTCTTGTTATCAACCTCCTGTGTTGATCTAACTTCTTAACCTTGTGAACACCTACTCAAAATCCAAAAAAGGCACATAAAGCAACCACGGAGGGAACCTAAAAAGAGTGAAGATTAGTCAAGCAATTTTTAAAAATAAAGAAAACAATAGTCAGTTGAAGTACAAACTAAATTAGTAGCTTACCTGAATAGAGTTGAGAAACAAAATTCTTGCAAGCATTATTAGGGTTCTAGCCACCCAATTGTGGCACTTAATCAAGAAATCCCCTATTCAACTATAACTTTTTTAACAATGATTACAAATTCTATTCAAGACAACAAGTTCAATGACTCCAATGTCAACAAATCCTAACTTGATGATGACAAGTTAACCAAGCACAGAAACATAAGCTAACAATAGTCTGAAGGACATTAAAAAGTTTAGATCAACATGAATAAGTGAACAACTTAAACAATTAATCATCAAAACGAGTGAGTGGGGGCATTAATAACATGTATGAAGTTAGCAGTTGGTACTCAAATCATTCACCAAATTAGTCAACATTCACCTATCATGTTCTGTAGTGATACCCAAGTGGTTTGAAAAATAAGAATGACCATTTTTAGACAATTGTGAGCCAAGTAAAGCATACTTCAATACCCAAGGAGGATACAGAGATCAAACAATCACAACAACTAAAAAGCCAAAAACGGGAAAACAATACAAGCAATATTTGCATACACCTACAAAGAAAGGTAACAGGAAATCAATTACATGAGCTCACTTATGATGGTTGTCATTCTCCTAGGAATGCAAGAGAAAGAGAAGTACGACAAAGCTTGAAAGTGTCACCCAACACACTAAAGGAAACCAGGGAAGTTGTTGTCACTGAATCATTTCGAGAAGGCCAATAAATACCTAAATTGCACAAGTTTTTAATGAGGGTTAAGATAAACCTCTTTGGAGAATCGATTCAATTGAACAAAAGGAAATAATTGAGAAAGTCAAACTCTTACCTTCCAAACATGATAGTGTTTACCAGCCACATGCCATGGAGTGGAAGGCCAAACTGAGGAGCCAAATGATGTTTGTGAAGGTGATTGTAGAAAAGGCCGATGAGCACATGAGAGACAAGGCTGAGAAGATGACGAAGCTAGAGCTAGTGTCGTTGCCCTCATCCATCGATCGAGAAGATGTTTGTTGTAGATTCAGCTAGCGATAGCACAAGATGAGGGCAAAAGTATTTGGCCCTACATTTAGAAGAAGGACGTAGGCAGTCACAAAATGCTAGGGATTTTGGCCTAGACTGATAAGAGGGTAGAGTATTTTCGAGAAATAGAGTGAGAGACAAGTGAAAAAGGAAGACATAACTTTTGTGGACAAATGGAATAAATTTTTCCCTTCTTATTGTAAATATATAAAAAGGTTTAATTAAAATTGAATAAAGAAAAAATAAAAAATTACTTTATAAGTAATAATGTAATAATTGTGGATAGTCTAATTTTTGGACTTCTTGTCTTAATTAGAGAAAAAATTTTCGTTAAAATTGAACTTTACTAGCAAGTTGGTAAGTGGTATAGAAAATTCTGAAAAATAAAATGGAAAAATGATAGAGTATTATTCTTTATGTTTTTTGAATTATGAAAAATACATAACAATAAAAAAAACTAGTATGTTTAATTTTGTAAATTTTTTTACACAAACTCTCATCCATAATTTTTTTAAAAATTTATTTTACCTATTTAAAAAAATTGGCATCAAACAAGATACAAGAAATATTT